CGCTTTTATTGATGGCGACTGATTTGTTGACCACCTTAATATTTTAGCTGTATGTACCTATTTACTGCCGCATACGGAACAAGCTATGGTCCCATCGCCTGGGTCCTTTCCAGCGAAGTATTTCCTATTTCTGTGCGGAGCAGAGGGGTTGCCCTTTCCACCGCATCGAACTGGGTAAACAATTGTATGTCTCTCTGTTTCATAGCTATCCGAACAGGAGCATAATTTTTTCTTGGTAGTCCTGATTGGGCTTGTGACGCCAGCCTTCGTCGAGACTAATGCTGCGTATGTCTGGAGCACTATCCCCTATAACATTCATTTACTAATGAAATCTAGAGGAACATATTTAATGTTTGCAGTCGCATGTTTTTCGGCGTCTGTTTGGGCTTTCCTGGCCGTACCGGAGACTACTGGGGTTTCCTTAGAAGAAATTGATAGAATGTTTAATTCATCTGCCGGTAGAGAAGACACAGAACGGCGGTCACAGGTGACCCTTATTTCTATTTCGTGTCTCTTCGTCTAACTAACGCCTGTTAAAAAGCTCCAAGAAGAGCTCGGACTTCGCCAGCTTTTGAGTGATTTAGTGACTCAGGAGGAATAATACTCGTTGCGTCTGAAAAACCCACAGATTGATCCTCTGCTCTCTTTTATCCCACGATATAATTTGAGAAATATTTCACGCGCTGGGAAAACGATATATAGCTGGTTTAATAGGAACACTTGGTAGGAGAAGGAGCATGATTTAACTGGATAAAAATATGGCCTTGCACGGGAATCGAACCTGCAATCTCCAGACTCTTACCCGGTCAGTGGGACTGTAAGAGTCTAACGCTCTACCATTGAGCTAGCAAAGCGTGATTAAGAGGACATAGATTCTAAGAGATACTGAACAACGAAACACAGTTGTAACGTTCTGTATTTGAGTCTGCTATTTTTTAGACATACCGGACCTTACTTTTGTTGTACTAGTATTACAGTGACAAGAGGATAAAGTCATAATAAGGCCAAGTCAATATAACTTGGATGCGAAGGTTGAATTTCTATAGTTCTGCATATGGATATTTGGTACTTGATGGCTAGTTCCATGAGGGCTAAAAGTATTTCTTACAGTCGGAAAAAGAGATATATAGTGGATTGAAAAGGAAGAGAAGGAGCCCGTGATTTAACAGGATAAAAATATGGCCCCGCACAGGAATCGAACCTGCAACCTCCAAGCTCTTACCCGGTCAGTGGGACTGTAAGAGTCTGACGCTCTACCACTGAGCTAACAAGGCGTTAGTGATAAGATATTCATTCTATCAGATACTGAACAAAAACACTGTAACATTTCACATTTGAGTCTTTATACATTTGTCATACTGCACTTTACTTTGTTGTACTACTATTTACAGTGACAAAAGAATAAAGTCTTATGCCCAAATCAATATATCTTGGATGCGAACTTTGAACTTCTGCAGCATAATGGTCAAAAATATTTTACACACTCGGAAACAGATATACCTGATTCAAAAGGAACTCTTGGTAAGAAGAGGAACCCATGATTTAACGGGATAAAAACAAGGCCTCGCACAGAATCCTTCAGACTCTTACCCGGTCAGTAGGACTGTAAGAGTCTGACGCTCTACCATTGAGCTAGCAAGGCGTAATTGACAGGACATACATTCTAATAGGTATTGAACAACGATAGACTGTTGTAACGTTTTACATTTGAGTCTGCTATTTTTTACTGTACCTTACTTTTGTTGTACTAGTATTTACACTGACAAAAGAATAAAGTCACAAGGCCAAGTCAATATATCTTAGATGCGAACTTGGAACTTCTACATAGCATAATGGTCAAAAATAATTTACATGCTTGGAAAAAGATACAACTGATTCAAAAGGAACTCTTGGTAAGAAGGAGGGGGAACCCATGATTCAACGGGGTAAAAGATATGACCCTGCACAGGAATCGAACCTGCAACCTCCAGATTCTTACCCGGTCAGTGGGACTGTAAGAATCTGACGCTCTACCGCTGAGCTAACAAGGCTTGATGGACAGCACATACATTCTAATAGATATCGAACAATGACACCACTGTTGCAACGTTCTACATTTAAGTCTTTAGACACTGGACCTTACTTTGGGTGTAGTAGTATTTACAGTAACAAAAGAATAAATTCATAAGGCCAAGTCAAACTTCTGTGTAGTTTTCCATATGCATGTTTGTTACTTGATGACTAGTTCCATAATGGTTAAAAATATTTCACACTAGGAAAAAGGGATATATACCTGATTCAAAAGGGATGCTTGGTAGGAAAGCCCGTGATTTAACAGGGTAAAAACACTACCCCGCACAGGAATTGAACCTGCAACCTCCAGATTCTTACCCGGTCAGTGGGACTGTAAGAATCTGACGCTCTACCGTTGAGCTAACGAGGCTTGACAGTTAATGCATACATTCTAATAGATATTGAAAAATGATCCCACTGTTGTAAAGTCTTTAGACATTTGCAAACTGCACCTTACTTTTGTTGTACTAGTATTTACAGTATTTAGAGTGACAAAAGAATAAAATCATAAGGGGAAATCAATATATCTTGGATGGCGAACTTTGAACTTCTATAGCATAATTGTCAAAAATAAATTACACGTCGGGATAAAAAATGTAGCCTCACACCCGGTCAGAAGGACTGTAAGAGTCTGACACTCTACCATTGAGCTAGCAAGGCATGATTGACAGGATATACATTCTAATAGATATCGAACAACAACACTGTTGTAACGTTCTACAGTTAAGTCTTTAGATATTTGCCATACTGCACCTGACTTTTGGTGTACTAATATTAGTGACAACAGGACAAAGGCACAAGGCCAAGCCGACACACCCCGGATGTGAACGCTGAACTTCTATAATTCTGCATATGCACGTTTGGTACTTAATGCCCCAGTTCCATAATGCTTTAAAATATTTCACACTCAGTAAAAGAGATATATACCTGATTCAAAAGGGACTCTTGGGTAGGAGAGACAACCCATGTGATTTAATGGGATAAAAATATCGCCTCATACAGGAATCGAACCTGTAACCTCCAGATTCTTACCCGGTCAGTGGGACTGTAAGAATCTGACGCTCTACCGTTGAGCTAATGGGACTTGATGGATAGGGCATACATTATAATAGATATTGAACGATAACAGCACTGTTGTAACGTTATACATTTGAGTCTTCAGACATTTGTCAAACTGCAGCTTACTTTTGTTGTACTAGTATTTACACTGACAAAAGAATAAAGTCACAAGACCAAGCCAATATATCTTGCATGCGAACTTTGAACTTCTATGTAGTCATGCATATGCATGTTTGGTACTTAATCGCAAGTATAGTCGGAATACTCCTGCGTAAGTCAACAAAACACAACAGCAAGACTTCAATGATACTCTACACATCACTATAGAGTGAGCTAATTGAGGCATTGCTCAAAAATAGTTTCAGGGACGTTGCTTTCAAGGAGAGTAATAAAGTTATCGAGTGGCAGCCATTCAAGGCCAACAGTGGAAGTCCCTTCGTGCATCGCCCAGACAAAAAGAGAACGGTCGTGCGTTCTCCACACCTGCCAAATGTGTAAGTCAGAGATAAAGCAGAGATAGCTGCATGGCACTAGCCTCGAAGACAAATTCACTTCCCACAGCGGACCACCTCAACAGACCTTGGATTCCCAAGCATGTCTGATCATGTCTGATCATGGAGCCATCATGGCCGACATACAACCTCAATTTGAAAGTTTCCTGCCCCTTCTGGAACGCGACAAAATTCTGCGCAAGCTCTTTGATCGGGTGTGAGTGATTGTAGTCACATATGCTCACTTTATTTGTCCCATCAGCCATAGGGCTAGATATCTTGCGTCTAAGCGTATGGCCGCTACATCGACCACGGGCATGAATGAAATTCGCATCTCATCGTCCATGGCGGCTTCAGATTCATCATCGACTCTCTTTTCTAAGCAGGACACGCCCCCCAATACCCCAAACACAGCTGATCGAGTCGCCCAAGAGACTAATGATATTCCATATGAACAGCCTATTGGATTGGGATCCAGCTTCGGTGGTGGGCTTGGCTTCCGTGGTTCAAAATATGAGACTCCAAAACAGCCATACGAAACGACAGATCTTTTACGAACAAGTGAAAAAAGCATGGCCGACTATTTTTCTGAAAAAATATTACTTAAAACCACACAAAGCCAAGGTCGTCAAATCAGTTATTCTTGATGACTCCCAGCTCCTAACAGATCCTTCCACGGAAAAATAAAAGTAGTACTAACGAGAGAAGGTAGATTGCAGATACCGTTTTACAGCCTGTTATGAGTTTATTGATAGTCTCTAAAAGCTACAGTGTCACTGCAGGGCCATATTGACCCCATGGCGCGGGTTTGTTGCGCAAACCATTTAAATGTATATATTCTTGTAAAGAGTCGCATATATATCCGTACGATGGCTCCTGGACGGTAATACTGGATGGCAGTTAGTGGGGTATCCTGCTGACAAAATATGAAGATGCACAAATAACTCAGTACCCGTACCTTATCAATTACATGTTGGTGATCACCATGGCCTCGTAGTGCAAGCGCCGCTTACACCCATGCTTACAGACTTTTTACACTTTATTGCAAGCCCCTCAGTCGCTTTTCTGCTACCTCAAAGCAGCGACTGAGGTGAGTACTTATATAGTATACATACAGTCATGTCGAACTCATGTAGATTAGTTCAGGCGTTGTCTGCCCTCTTTTCAGTTTTGTCACCTGTATAGTTCTGCTGTGAGTTGAGATGTCATTTTGAACTGGTAGAATAGTTATTGCAGATGCAATAGCATCATTAGCAGCATATTGCCCCCAACAACATCTATAATGTTCATCGCTACAGGGAGGGAGTGGTAATAAAGGGCAGGCAATTCACTCACCTATTTACAGTATAGGGACTTCTGGTAGGAGAAAGAACCCGCTATCTAACGGGATAAAAATATTGCCTCGCACAGGAATTGAACCTGCAACCCCCAGAATCCCACCCGGTCAGTGGGACTGTAAGAATCTGACACTCTACCATTGAGCTAACAAAGCTTAGTAGACAATATATACATTCTAATAGATATTGAACAACAACACCACTGTTGCAACGTTCTACATTTAAGTCTTTAGACATTTGCCATACTGCACCTTACTTTTGTTGTACTAGTATTACAGTGACAAAAGAATAAAGTCATAAGGCCAAGTCATATGTTTGGTACTTAATGGCCAGTTCCATAATGGTAATATTTCACATTCAGAAAAAGATATATATACCTGATTCAAAAGGGACCCTTGGGTAAGAGAAAAGCCGGCGATTTAACAGGATAAAAACATTGCCTCGCACAGGAATCGAACCTGCAACTTCCAGACTCTTACCCGGTCAGTGGGACTGTAAGAATCTGACGCTCTACCGTTGAGCTAACGAAGCTTAAGAGACAACACATACATTCTAATAGATATTGAACAATTGCACCACTGTTGGAGTCTTTAGACATTTGCCATACTACACTTTACTTTTGTTGTAGTAGTATTTACAGTGACAAAGGAATAAAGTCATAAGGCCAAGTCATATCTAGGATCTGAACTTTGAACTTCTGTGTAGTTTTGCATATGCATGTTTGGTACTTGATGACTAGTTCCATAACGGTTAGAAGTATTTCACTCGGAAAAAGATATATATACATACAGGACTCAAAAGGGACTTTTGGTAGGAGAAATAGCCCGTGATTTAACGGGATAAAAATGTTGCCTCGCACAGGAATCGAACCTGCAACCTCCAGATTCTTACCCGGTCAGTGGGACTGTAAGAATCTGGCGCTCTACCGTTGAGCTAACAAGGCTTGGTACACAGGACATACATTTTGATAGATATCGAACAATGACACCACTGTTGTAACGTTCTACATTCAAGTCTTTAGACACTTGCCATACTGCACCTTACTTTTGTTGTACTCATATTACAGTGGACAAAAGAATAAGTCATAATAAGGCCAAGTCATATCTTGGATGCGAACCGTTGAACTTCCATAGTTCTGCACGTTTGGTACTTCATGGCCAGTTCCATAATTGTTAAAAATATTTCACATTCGGAAAAAGAGATATATATACCTGATTCAAAAGAGACTCTTGGTAGGAGAAAGAGCCCGTGATTTAACAGGGGAAAAAATTGCCTCGCACAGGAATCGAACCTGCAACCTCCAGATTCTTACCCGGTCAGTGGGACTGTAAGAATCTGACGCTCTACCGTTGAGCTAACGAGACTTGATAGACAAGACATACATTCTAATTGATATCAAACAGCGACACCACTGTTGCAACGTTGTACAATTAAGTCTTTAGATATTTGCCATGCTGTACCTTACTTTGTTGTACTAGTATTTACACTGACAAAAGAATAAAGTCACAAGGCCAAGCCAATATATGGATGCGAACTTTGAACTTCTATGTAGTTATGCATAGACATGTTTGGTACTTAATCCCAAGTATCGTCGGAATACTCCTGCATAACTCAACAAAACGCAACAGCAAGACTCCAATGATACTCTACATATCACTATAGATTACGGAGCTAATTGAGACATTGCTCAAAAATATTTTTAGGGACGTTGCTTTCAAGGAGAGTAATAAAGTTATCGAGTGGCAGCCATTCAAGGCCAACAGCGGGAGTCCCTTCGTGCATCACCCGGACAAAAAGAGAACGGTCGTGCATTCTCCACACCTGCCAAGTGTGTAAATCAGAGATAAAAAACAGAGATAGCTGCACGGTACTCGCCTCGAAGACAAATTCACTTCCCAGAGCGGGCCACCTCAACGGACCTTGGATTCCCAGGCCCGAAGCAAGTCTGATCATGGAGCCATCATGGCCGACATACAACCTCAATTTGAAAGTTTCCTGCCCCTTCTGGAACGCGACAAAATTCTGTGCAAGCTCTTGGAACATCACTCCTGAGGACGGTGTATCAGAGCAAGAAAAACTTGTGGAAACTATGTACCAAATGTCAAGGAATTGTATGTGGATGCGCCTTGTGCCGCCTTCCAAATGTAGCTTTCAAATACTTGAGCCATTCCGGAGCGAGTCACGATGCCAAATTCACGTACTTGTATTCGAAATCTCCAATTTGGAATACTTTCACCGCGTCCTCTGGAGCTACACAGGCTCCCGTGGAATTGCACGGGAGAGGGTGCCCGTGACATGTGCGGGACGTGAATGTATCAAAAAAATGATCATCTTTTTTTTTTGTGAGAAAATGGAGTTGAGAATAAAAATCAACATACACCATGATGACCAAGCACTGAGTCCTGCTGTGCCAAGAGTGGCATCCAATCTGGCTTTTAAATCAGCATTTGCATTCAAATGGTCCGTCCAGGCTGGTATGGATTGATACTGGTTGCGAAGGCTATCAGCGTTCGGGCACGAATACGAAGGGACCAAGGAGTCTATCTATTTTTCTTCAATATATAATATCACCATATCATACAATAACACTCACACTGGCAGGCTCGTTGTGCACCTTGAATGGCACGTTGTCCAGAGAGGGATTCATCCCATACAGCCATCCACCAGCCACCTGATATGTCCTATCTTCGGTGGATGTCCTGATCCAGATATCATTTTGATCAACAGCCTTTAAAAATCTGACTTTATCCATGTAAACTGCCACAAAGTCCTATATTGTGGTTCGTATTACCTTGCAACTGCTAGGAAAAATACAAACGAGCTTCACCTTTCCGTGGGCGATGACGTCCTGCAACCCCGCAGCCGTGAGTTGGCCCTCGTCGCAAGACCCGTTCCAGAATTGGCTTAAAAATGGATGGGTGTCGGGTATAAAAGTTTCGTGGAAAATATGAGCGCTCCGACCGTTCTTGCCTTGCAAAGAACCATACGTTGACTCGAGGAAGTCTGTGCACACCCAACCAGGCTGAGGATTGAGCTCATTTTCACTAGGGTATAAATTATCCGGCGTTCGCTGTAGGCATCTCAACAAAATACAGCTCGATATGGCCATTTCAAGTCACTTACTTTGTGATGGCGAATCATAACATTCATGTACACAAGTTCTGCACCCGAGGAATTGGATGGGACGGTATAATGCGCTGCATTAACATGAGGCGCGTTGCAGTAATTGTACCTGGAAATATGATGACATTAAATCTCAACTCCAAAGGATTTAAGGATTCTGTACGTGTTCCAGGGAAATTGATGTGGTGTTTGTGATCCAGAGTATACACCATTCGCCGAGTCGATATCCGATGCCCCTGTGTAACCCAAGACACTAGCCAAAGACACCAACGAAAGAAGAGAATACATCTTGCTAAGTAGTTGATGACTTTCGAGTAAACAGACCTGTGCTAGAGCCAGGCTCATATACATACATATATGACGGCCTCAAGGACTCGTGATCGAATCAGTACAAACGTCCGCTTTAGTCGCGTCTGATCAGTGAACGCGATGTGGTTACGCCCCGTCACGTGGTCTGATATTTTATTTATTTATTTATATATTTGTATCCCGCTTCAAGTAACAAGGACTAACTGCGGCCAGGGGCATGGTGTCCCCACTAAACTATGCTACGGAATTACGAAGTGCCGAGTGAGCTACATGGGTATGAGGGATTTTGGTGGGAGGGAAGCAGTCTGGGTTTTCGGTGTGAGGTGGGAAGTGGGGGTTGTACGCACAAAAAGAAAGAGACACAAGAGGATAATACAAGCGTGTGAAGGGGGTATAAGTACGCGAAGGAAATACAAATAGTCGAGGTCAGTGGTACTCCCTTTTTACCACGTATTTCTCTTGTGGTAGACCAGAGATCTATTGTTCCTAATAGCCAATCCACTTTATCTAGCGGCCACAACTTTCTGCAACTGCTTCCTATCATTACACAACTTCATACACTAACCACCATCCTCATACCATGATATATTCTGCCATACACACCCCACCCAATGGGATCTTCTTAGCCACGTCATATCCCGCGCTCCTCTCTCAAACCATCCTCCAATTAATTGAAGAATTTCGCTCAAGGGATGATGATCTATTGGAGATGCGCGCCATTATGCAAAGCGGACTAAGGAAGCAGGAGAATTTGCACAGTAGCCTCAAAGTGGGTCGTCTCTGTCATTTTTACAAGGGCAATTGGCAGTGAAGTACAATTGACTACTCTTCCTTTGTTTTTTTCCCTAAACCCTCTCTTAGAGCACCCTTAGTGGTAATTTAGACCCACCAGAGAGTGCAGCGGGTGTGACACCTTTGATTAACTTCAATATCTTCATGGGTTTGGACGCAGACGATCAAGAAGGGAGCGCGTCATGTACCGTCAGAAGACTACTCAAGATCGCGACAACTCCCTCAATGAGCTCAGAGTCGTCAGGATCGACACCGAGGAGTAGCGTCAAGACTGCCGCGGCGTTTGTGGAGGATCAACGGTCTGATGATACCGCGCCATTCACGTCGCGGGCAACGGGGGCTCTTCAAGCGGCACTGGGGCGTCTCATTCGGCGGCGGTGAGCTGCTGCCCGCGCTGGTCTTTTGGTGATGGTGCAGATGGGAGGTTTTCAATAACGATAATGAGCCTGCGAGACTGGTCGGTTGGAAGTCTAGGCGCGTGGAGACCGACGATGAGGAGGAGCAGACCAAGGAGTCAATCTGGGGTGTTCGTCGCAGTAAGAAGCCAAAGCACGAACCGGGTCGCACCTGTTTCGGGTTGTCGAACAAGCCGGAACACGACTGCGTCCGCCTCCTCCGTAGGACCGCACACGTGTTTGTCTTGCCATATCACATTCACGCGCAAACATGATCTCAAACGGCATAACACCAAAACCAAACATCTTGCATCACTGCGCACTCATGACCAAAAATCAAATGCGGATAAAACCAAGGCCTTTTACTGTTGCTCTCTGACATTCTTGTGAGAAGATTTCTTTAGGAGGCATCTGTTACAATGTAAACGTCGTTGCCAAAGCTGAAATGGCGCTCAGGAGGGTATCTCATTCGTATATTATAGGTGAGCATCCCAGTTTCTATTACGCAGATTATAGCCTTATTCTTCTCCCTGTTT